TCCTTCGCGTCGAACTTTGTCTGAGATTCCCCGTCCGTCGAGACAGATGGGCGTGCCCGGTCTCAAGCTGGGCGACACGCCCCGAAGGCGCCTTTGACCAGCCGCACGAGATTTCGGCCTCAAGGGCTTCGAGGTTGTCAAGATTGCCACGGGCGACAACCACTCGGTCGCGCTCGACAAAGGACGGCAAGGTGTTTACGTTTGGCGACAACACATTCGGCCAGCTGGGTCTCCAGTCCGAGTCCGGGTTCAAGAGCATCGACGTGCCCTCTCTCATCCCCGTGCCGCGTCTCTACGCGAACACGGGCCTCGTCCCCGAGGGTGACGTCGATTGCCGCCGGCGGACTCAACTCGTTCTTCACCGTCGACGCCACGCCGCCGGCGTTCACGGGCGACCGCAAGACGGCACGCACGACGGCCGACACGTGGGCCTGCGGCAGCGGCATCCTCGGCACGCTGGGCACGGGCAAGTGGACGCACGTGTCGTCGAACCCGGTCAAGATCAAGAACCTGTCGGGGCTCAGCGAGTACGACGAAGCCAACCACCAGGTGGTGCCGATCCGGCTGGCCGACATCACGGTAGGCAGCACGCACGCGGCGGCGACCATGGCCAACGTGACGTACACGGGCACGACGGCGCGGGGGTCGGAGAACGACACCAACTGGGGCGCCGACGTTGTCTTCTGGGGCGGCAACGAGCACTACCAGCTGGGCACGGGCAAGCGGTCGAACGTCAACGCGCCGACGTACATCCAGCCGCTCGACGGCGGGGCCACGGGCGATTTCCACCGGTTCCAGCTGACGCCGCGCAAGACGGTCAGGCTTGGCGAGGACGGCAAGGGACGCAAGGCCAGCCTCGAGCAAAGGGTCGAGTGCGGGCGCATGGTGACGGCCGTGTACTCGGCGGCGTAAGGTTCTGGCTACGGGGTTTTATTTAATTTTTTTTTTCCTTTGGGCGTGACCCGTGTGTACCATGTATACCAATTCCATGTACGATAGACGCTGTTAGGCTTAAGCGCACGGCACGGTACTGCGTGTGCCTTTGGGTATGCCCTTGTCAGGAGACAGACAGGTAAAGGATGACGAGGAGAGGGTAGGAGGGCTGTTCCACGCGATGGAGTCATTCTTGAACCATATTCTGGGGGGCGCTGTCCAATCAAGCATGTCGACTTTTGCGTCCAGCTCGTGTGAGTGCGTGGCATGTACGTCCACTGGATGTTGGGACCCAGCAGGGATCAAGGTGGCCAGAGGGGAAACGAGTACAAACAAGTACTTGGACGCGTGGATGGGGCGAATGTGGGTGAAAAGGGGAAAAGTTTACCTCTGGCGAGTGCAGCTGAGGCGAGTGCAACGCAGACGATCGATAGAGGCCACAGTAGGTTCTGTGACGAATGCATGGAAGCGTCTGCATACGACCCTGGGCAAGTTTTTTTTTTCTTTTTGCCATGCTGTCGGGCCAAACCATGCTGTCAGATAAAAATAGAGGGCTGACATGCAGCGAGCTGAGAGGCGTCGATCATCGTGGTCTCACGATCCGAAGCGCCTGCATTCAGGTACAAGGCGAGGTACAGGTGCATTAGGTGGTAGGTACCTAAGGTAGGTGCCTAGGCACGCTGCACGCTGCACGCTGCACGCAGCGCCTCCTGATGCCCCAGCACTCACCTCACCGCACCCAGGGGGGCCACAGTGGCAAGCAGTGCAGGCCTCAGCGATGGCCCCAGCACACAGCGCACCTCACCTCCAGGGCCCAGCGCAGCGCACCTCACCTCCAGGGCCCAGCGCAGCGTTCCAGGCGCTCGGGACCGTGGTGGCCCGGCTCTTCAGGGGCCTCGTCTAGTGGACCGCCCCTGTGGGATCGCAGGCCACCCTGCCCCTGCCCCCGTGGACACGGACATTGGCATGCCAAGATGACATCGCGCCTAATCTGGGTTTGCTGGCCCGATCCATGTGCCATCTCCGAACACTGGAGCTGTGTTATTTCCAATCATCCTCCTCCGCCTCTCCGCCCCCTCCCCCCCCCCATGTCCCTATTTCCCTGCAACAAGTTTTCTACCCCTGGACCTGGACTTCAACCTGGCCACAGAGAGGGACAGGGACAGAGACAGAGAGAGAGAGAAAGCGTCCTGGGGGAGCGCGAGGGAGCCAACGACCTGAAAGTGGCGAGATCATCTTGGATCGATCCCTTCGCAACGCAGCCTCCCATTGCGAGAACGAAAGAACGAGCCTCTCTGACAATCCGTCTCCTTTCCCATCCCTGTTTTCTTTTCCCTCTTCCTCTCGTGGGATCAACCTTCACACGCCCGCCCGCGTGCCCACCCTCGCCGAAGCATCTCTCACGTCACAGCACGTGCCCCTTGGAGATCCTGTGACACGCCTCGCCAGCCTTTCGAAACTCGGCACTGTTCATTGCGGCCCCCGAGAGCCTTGCGATCGACATTGATTTACATTGTCTGTTTCTCGATCTCGCGTCCACCCGTTCTCGTTCTGTCTGCACGTCCCGACCTAGTCCATCCTTTTGTGTCTCACGCCACTCGAACGACCACCTCCTCCCGCTCAGCCTTGCCGCCGCCGCCGACGACGACATCATAGCCTCCCACGACCCACGTTCCGGCCACCCCATCAGCCGCAACCATCCGACGCTGACCTGGACTACTCCTCAACCGGCGGCGACCCGGCAGCCTCTGCCTCCATCCCACAGCGCCCCTCCACAGCATCCCGCGCGCCGCGACCATGGAGATTCCCAAGTTCCGCCGCAAGCCCAAGGCGCCCACCATAGCCACCGATCCCAAGACCCTCACCGTCCCCGACGCCGCCGAACCCTCCCCGACGAGCAACACCATCCCCCTCGCCGTCTCGGCGACGACACCCGGCAAGCAGGGCAGCTTTCGCAAGAGCGCCCTGCGACACCTTCGCTCCTCAGCCAAGCGCGCCCGATCCCCAGCGCCGCCGCCGCCGCCGCCGCCAGCCTCGTCCTCGCCTCCTCCGACCTTGGCTTCGACTCGTGATGGCCTCGCTGACGCCATGCCTGCGTCACCAGTCTCCCTGCGACACCGCGACGGACTGCTGGCCGACTCGCCCGAGAGGAGCAAGCTGAAGATGCCTTCGTTCCTCGACTTGTCACAAGAAGGTACTGCTCTCCCCTTCCAAAGCGAAATAGGAAACAAAATTGCTTCCCCACGGCAAAGCTGACATGCATGAACCCTCAGGGATCCACTCGAAATTCCAGGACCTCACTTGGACCGAACGCAACCGCCTGCACAATGCCATGGCCCAGGAGGCCGCCACAAATCCCGACTCGACCTACCGATATGCCGTCCATAAGCAGGTCGACATGCGCCGCGGCGTCATGGACCGCTACTGCAACATCAAGCCCTACAACCGCAACCGCGTCCGCCTGCGCGTCCCCGAGGGCACGCTCGACTACGTCAACGCCTCGGCCGTCGTCCTGCCCTCCCCACGCAGAAGCCTGGCGTCGCCTGCCCCGGCCCCGGCCCCGCTGCGCTACATTGCCATGCAGGGGCCCGTCGAGAACTCGGTCGACTCTGTCTGGCGCATGATCGCCGAGCAGTTCGACTCGCCCGTCGTCATTGTCCAGCTGACGACCATGTTCGAGAACGGCACCATCAAGTGCTACCCGTATTTCCCCATGTCCGCTGAGGACGAGCCCTGGATTCTCAACGAGGACGACGGCTGGGAGGACGGCTGGGGCGCCGAGCTGCGCTTCGACTCGATGGAGACGCTTGAGGACGGCGCCATCGAGCTGCGCAAGCTCATCCTGCGCGTCGCACCCCCAGCGCCCTCTGCCGCCCCCGCCGCCGACGCCGACGCCGACGACGCCGACATTGAAGTGACGCAGACGGCCTCGCCGGGCGCCCGAGCCCACGGAGCAGGTCATCTGGCACTTTCTCTACACGCGCTGGCCGGACTTTGGCGCCCCCGCCCTCGAGGATCTCGGCAGCTTCCTCACCCTCATGCGCCTCTCGCGCGACTACAACACCGGCAGCAGCACTGTGAGCCTCTCGGACGCAGACTCGACGCTCGCAGCCCCAGCAGCAGCGGCCGCTCCAGCAGCGACTTCCGCCGGCCCGCCCCCGCGCATCATCCACTGCAGCGCCGGCGTGGGCCGCACGGGCACCTTCATCACGCTCGAGCACCTCATGCGCGAGCTCGACGCCGGCCTCCTCGAAGCCTACCCGGCCGCGGGGCCAGACCTCATCCACGCGACGGTCGAGGCCCTCCGCGAGCAGCGGCCCAGCATGGTCCAGGCGCCGCCGCAGTTCCTCTTCCTCTACAGCGTGCTGCGGCGCATGTGGCTCGAGCGGTACGCGCCGGCGCTCGCGGCGGCCGAGGGGGGTGCCGGCGCGGGTGCAGGCGCGGGTGCCGGCGCCAGCACAACGTCGAGAGATTCGACCGACGGCACGGCGTCGACGGCGGGCGACGGCGAGCCGGCGGCTAAGAGGCTGGAGATGGGCGATCCGTTTGTCGATTGACGTGAGGCGCGGGCGCGCGGGAAAGACGGGCGACAAGGGTTGGATATGGATCGGCCTGAGGAGCCCGCGGCGGCGGCGACGACGACGACGACGACGACGATGGCCGGCGTCGCCGTCGACGCTGATGCCCTTTCTCAAGCGCCTGCTGCGCGAAAGGGCTGGAGGGCACGCATGGGAGGCACGGAGGGCGGCTCACGCATGAGGACGGCCGGGCTTTGGCGAAGCTGCTCGGTCTTATGGGGTTCAAAGATGAGGGGGCGCATCCTCGCATCCCACCCCCCCCCCCCCCCT